AAGAGCTGGGAATGGATGATGAAGGCAATGATGACCTAGTTCCTCTACCAGACGTTTATGTGACAATATTAGAAAGGTCATCCAGTGGTGCACCCACCACAAGGAATGACCCTCCCCCTCCTGAGGTCGATGAGAACAAAGAAAAGCAAACAGATGATATCCCTGTTTGGGACCACGAATTCCTCAACACTGACCAAGGAACACTTGTTGAACTTACTCTGGCTGCAAACTATTTAGACATCAAAGGCTTGCTTGATGTTACATGCAAGACTGTTGCCAGTGTGATCAAGGGGGAAACTCCTGAGAAGATTTACAAGACCTCGCTTATCAGAATGGACTCTACTGAAGAAGCAGCAGCCCAGGTATGCAAAGAGAACCGGTGGTTGAAGAGAAGGAAAAGTTACAGTGCCTGACACTGTAACACTGTAAGGATTGTTCCATGTACTAGACCGCTGCTCTTTCATGATTGTTCATATAAGACAAACAGAAGACAAATGCAAATCAATTGTATTAGCAGAATATTGTCCTCATTGCATGTGTAATTTGGGTTTAGATTCCAAATGCATGGCTAAGTTTCTTCCAATATGATCAAAAGTACCCTTTTTCGTTACTCTGAATAAAACTGAATTGTGGGTTCTCTGTAAACAGTGACATTTTGGGCTTTTCCTCTTTTTGCAAAGCAATTTCTGCTTAGTTTATTGTCCAGTTAAAAGGTCTAGTGACATTTTAAAACTTGGCATTGTAAATAAAACAACTTGCAGAAGTTTTCTGAAATAGAAAAAATAAAAATAATGTAAATTTTGGTTATGAAAGTATAGAATAATAGAATTAATTTTTGTGCAAAACGACAGTACATAATTGAAGTATTTTTTTCTTTCTTTCTGGCATTTTAATAATTTCCACACATTTTTATACCTTATTATATACTTACTATATCTAAAAGCACAGTATAGACTTGCCGGCTGTTAATTTTATAATAAATGGTATATGCTCTTCTGCAACTTGTTCCCCTCCCCATGAGATTGACTCATGTTGATATGTGTAATTTCAGCTAATTCATTTTGCTGCTCATGATTAATTCTAACATGCACAGCTTTTCCCACATTTTAACTGTTTTGAAATTTTGATACATTTTAAAATTAATGCTTTGCCCTTACAATTGTTATTTTTTTCTTTTTTGTGGCATATAAATAAATATATGATGTTTGTGGTATTGTGTGTGTGTATGAAAAAGCTGCACCTTAACAATTCCTTCTGTGACAGGTTATTTCAGAATTTCATAACTGTATACAGTGTAGCAGTGAACATTATTTTGCCTGTTTTGTTGTACTTATGTGTGAGCGTGTCTGTAGGCAGGAAATGACAATTTCCAGTTTTGCTCTCTAAACTGTTTGTTCAGTCTTTCCCTAGTTTATAAGTCTCTGTTGCCTCACTCATCAACATTGGGTATTATCTTATTTTTTAAATATTTTTATTATTATCTGTGTACATGTTTAAACATTGCCTCCCCCTCCCATGCATACCCTCCCTCCCCAGAGTTGTGTGTCCATTGGTTGTACTTGTATGCATGTATACAACAAATCTGGGTATTATCTTATTTTTTGTCATTCTGGTGGTTATGAAATGGAATCCTACCATAGTTTTAATTACTATTTTCTTTATTACTAGTCAGGGTTGAGAATTTTCTTTTAAGAAGTCTTTTGGCCTTTATTTCCCTTTTTTCTAAATTGCTTGTTGATATCTTTTACCTATTTTCCTACTGAGTTTTGCCAAGCAGTGTGATTTCTTTAGATCTTTGGTCAGTTATATGTGTTGCCAGTATCTTCACTTTTTCTGTGGCCTATCTTTATTTCTGGTATCAATTGATAACTAAACAAAAGCTCAAATTTTAATAAAAATTTTCCAATCTTTTGCTCTTAGTTTGTGCTATTTGTACCTTGTTAAAAGAAAAGCTTTCATGTAGGATTTTTGCTCGGAAGCCTGTGCTATGGGAGACCCTTTCCCCATAAGCAGAATGGATGTGCTGGTGGGCTGATGCTGACAGTGCTGGGAACTCAAGGGGGCCTGAAGGAGAGTTTTCTAATTAGCGAGGACAAATTGAAAGCAAAAGCATTTATACCAACTCTACTGTATAAATATATTTTAAAATAAAGAAAACGAGATTCCTAGAGTTAGCAGGCATCTTTTTTTTTTTTTTAAATATATTTTATTATTGATTTTATACAGAGAGGAAGGGAGAGAGATAGAGAGCTAGAAACATCGATGAGAGAGAGTCATCGATCAGCTGCCTCTTGCACACCCCCTACTGGGGATATGCCCGCAACCAAGGTACATGCCCTTGACCAGAATCGAACCCAGGACCCTTCAGTCCCCAAGCCGACGCTCTATCCAGTGAGCCAAACCGGTCCCGGCAGCAGGCATCTTTTAAAAAAATATTTTTTTTATTGGTTTCAGAGAGGAAGGGAGAGGGAGAGAGCCATCAATGGTGAGAGAGAATCATTGATCGGCTGCCTCCTGCATGGCCCCACCCTAGGGAAGGTGGGGGAGGGGGATGATGTGTCCTGACTGGGAATTGAACCATGACCTTCTGGTTCAAGGTCGATACTCTTCTTTCTAAGTACTCATGAAAGCGAAGTCATTAACTCTACTGCTAAGCCACCCTGGAATAACTATTATTTACGTGAAACTTGAGATAGATGGTATTAGTATCTTGACTTCTTTATACCTCCTTTCATCTCTTTGGTTGTCAGATCTTGTGGATCTAAGATGTAGTCATTTGTATAAAAATTAGATTTGTAGTAAAACCAATGTTGTAGTTTCCTATAAAAAATAAGTTTGAAAAGATGTGAGGCAATAGAATAGTTTGAGGCTTTTTAATTCAACTCTGTTAGATTTTGTGGGGAATGCAAACGTAGTTTAAGGACAGCATGATTTCTCTTTGGTTCACTAGCTGTGTGAAATATGTTGGCTCTGTTCTTTTTTAAAAAAAATAATTTCATTGATTTCAGGGAGGAAGGGAGAGAGAGAGAGAGAGAGAGAGAAACATCAGTTATGAGAGATTGGTAGGCTACCTCCTGAAAACCCCACACTGGGGATCGAGCCTGCAACCTGGCATGTGCCCTTGGACCTGGGACCCGTAAGTCCTCAGGCTGACATGCTACCACTGAGCCAAACTGGTCAGGGCAGCCCTGTTATTTTTAAAAAGGTATTATGTAGGGTTGAAAGTCATTGCAGTGATGTGTAAAAGTCCTTTCTTGGAATGATCAAATTAATTATTCATTTGCTATGTACATAGAAATGCTTTGGTGAAAATCACCTTCCCTAACATGGGTTACTTCTCTAACAAACGTGTGACACTTGATTACTACCTCCCCTAAAAAAATACTTCACTTCTTCAAAGCTTAACATCTGAGATGTGACAGGAAAACGATTTGAGAGCCACTGTAATTAGATTTAGAATTTTGGATTCTTTTGCTGCTAAGCATCTTTTGTGTTACATAAGAGAAGTGTTAATTTGGAATCTCTTTTACTAGAAGGACAAGAACTAGGATTTATCAAAGCATATTGGGCATTTGTGTGGTAGGAGGTAATGAACGGAAGAGGTCAGTAATATTTTGAGGACAGAGTGTAAAGTTCTTTGTTGATGTGGGCAGGCCAGATCTTGGGGCTTGATTTAGACGAGGAAGCTAAGAGAGGGCTCTGAGGGGTGACCGGATCCAGGTAAGACCAGAATAGGATGGGGACCTGGAAGTAGATCAAGAAGCACGTGTGGGTGCGCGCTCATGTGCCGTGGTGTGTTTTGTTCTTTAGCACGCTCACTTCTTTTTGCCCAGTAGTTTTCAATCTTTTTGTCTCTAATGCTGATCATAACATGCTGAGGTCACTTATGGTCTGTAATTTATATTTGTGTAATTTGACTACAAACTCATCCTCCCATTAGTGAACTTGGTGCCACTCTAACTGTGGAGAACGCTAACTGTTTTTACACAGTGTGATCCTCTAGCTTTGAAGCTGTCAGATTAGAGAAGCAGTGGTACATTTTAGCTGATACAGCAATCTTATCTGTATTTTTCATTTCCTGTTCCATCTGTCTCCCTTTAAAGAGTGGCAATAAGCTCACTTTTGAAAGTGAACTGCCCCTCTATCCTGGAAGCGTAGTTGATAGGTGTGTACAGAAGAGAAATCTGAATGGAAGCTTTTTATATAAACAGAACCAAAGGTTTACTTTGATATAATGTAGCTGTTTGCTTATTTCCAACCGAGTGAAAATACTCTCTAAAATAACTTTCACCAAGGTGACTTGTTTGTTGTTTGTATTGTTAGTTTTTGTTGTTTTGTTTTTGTGAAGTGCTGGCTACTGTTTATTATGAGGTAACATTTTTGAGATTTTCTTTAGGTAAAAAATACTTGTTTTCTGTCTAAAGGCTTTTTTTTGTTATTTTCATTCATTCCTTCTTGTAGATCTTTATAAATCTTGAGTACTGGTCACATTTTCATACGTGTGTCTTTAAAACAATGTTTTTTTACTTGATTTTTAGAAAATATGTCTTCATTGATTTGAGACAGAGGAAAGGAAAAGGTGAGAGAGAAACCTCAATTGGCTACCTCTTGCTGGGGATGGAGCCTGCAACCTGGCATGTGGCCTGACTTGGAATTGAACCCATAACCTTTTGGTGTATGAGATGATGCTCCAAAAGCCACCCTGGCCAGGGCTTAGAAATTCTTATCTGTGAGTTTCATCAGCTGTGCTTCTGAATCTATTTTTATGGGTGCAGGTACAGGAATGACTTATGCAACATTTGAAGTAGCTGAAGCATTAGCTAAAGTAGAGGTATTGCAATGCTTATCCTCTTGAAAGGAAAAAAATCTTGATGGAATTTAATTATTTTTATAAATTATGGATTTGACCCCTAAAAGATTTCTTTATGAGATTTAAAATTGAACTTTTTTTTTTTTTTTTTTGGTAATTATTAAGTCCTTCTTCTCTTTCTTTTGCAGGTATGGCCTCACAAGTCTTGGTCTACCCACCATATGTTTATCAAACTCAGTCAAGTGCCTTTTGTAGTGTGAAGAAACTCAAAGTAGAGCCAAGCAGTTGTGTATTCCAGGAAAGAAACTACCCACGGACCTACGTGAATGGTAGAAACGTTGAAAATTCTCATCCTCTCATAAAGGGTAGTGCTTTTCAGACAAAGATAGCATTTAACAGACCTCGAGGACACAACTTTTCGTTGCAGACAAGTGCTGCGGTTTTAAAAAACACTGCGGGGGCTACAAAGGTCATAGCAGCTCCGGCACAGCAAGCTCAAGTGGGGGCACCTCCGGCCGGGGCGTGGAGACCTAGGTTACACTTCCTAGGGGGCCCCCAGCGATGTGGATTGAAGCGCAAGAGTGAGGAGTTGGATAATCATAGCGCAATGCAGATTGTCGATGAATTGTCCATACTTCCTGCAATGTTGCAAACTAACATGGGAAATCCAGTGACAGTTGTGACAACTACCACAGGAACAAAACAGAATTGCACTACTGGAGAAGGTGACTATCAGTTAGTACAGCATGAAGTCTTATGCTCCATGAAAAACACGTATGAAGTCCTCGATTTTCTGGGTCGAGGCACTTTTGGCCAGGTCGTCAAATGCTGGAAAAGAGGGACGAATGAAATTGTGGCAGTCAAGATTTTGAAGAATCACCCTTCTTATGCACGCCAAGGTCAGATAGAAGTGAGCATATTAGCAAGACTCAGTACTGAGAATGCTGATGAGTATAACTTTGTTCGAGCTTATGAGTGCTTTCAGCACCGCAACCATACTTGTTTAGTCTTTGAGATGCTGGAACAAAACTTGTATGACTTTCTGAAACAAAATAAGTTCAGTCCCCTGCCACTAAAAGTGATTCGACCCATTCTTCAACAAGTGGCCACTGCACTGAAAAAATTGAAAAGCCTTGGTTTGATTCATGCTGATCTCAAACCAGAGAATATTATGTTGGTGGATCCTGTTCGGCAGCCTTACAGGGTTAAAGTCATAGACTTTGGGTCAGCCAGTCACGTGTCGAAGACTGTTTGTTCAACATACCTACAATCTCGGTACTACAGGTAAGTGACAGTTACTCTTAGGTTATTAAATAAATGTTGAAGTTCTGCCAAATGAAATAATTTTGTGCGTATATGTGATGAAAAAAGATTGCTTCGGATAAATAAAGAAATCGACATAAGATCAGTTTAGGTTTTGAGTGTCCATTGGTAGATGAATGGATAAAGAAGATGTCACACACATGCACATGCTCCCCCCCCCCCCCCCACACACACGTGTGCACACAGTGGAATATTACCTAGCATAAAAATGAAACTTGCCATTTTCAATTTAATGAAATGTAAGATTAGTTTTTAGTTAATTTTTTTTCTGGACATATTATTTTAAAATCTTATTTACCAGCATGAGAATAATAGTGGTGTTTTCCTACCCCCCCCCCCCCCCCCCGGTCCTCTCAGTCCCCTTTGTACTCTATAGATTCCGTCTTAAGAGCTTTCAGTAGTCAGTATCAATAATAATAAAATTGTAATATGCTAATTAGACTGGACAGCCAAACGACCTTCCATCCGGACATCCTTCTGGATGAAGCCGCAACTGCAAGGGCCAAGGCAACCACTGTGGCTGTGAGGGCCAAGCCCTTTGCACGAATTTCACGCATCGGGCCTCTGGTATTATATGAAACCCCAGGCTCCATCTGCTTGGGCTCTATATTTAGTTCATTTGTTAGTAAATGACTTCATTTTCTTTGAGTCCTGCATTATTATGCATATCAGATTTAGTCCATGTCCTAGATTCCTTTTCATTACTTGAAATCTTTCCAATCAGAGTAGGAAAAAAAGCTTTATTTAATTTTTATACTTGACATTATAGTTTTATAAAATGTTTCAGGAGAGTAAAGGAAATCTTTTACAAAGCAATCTAAAGTGCTATATATCTGTGATACTTATTTCTACTAGTATTAGGCCTTTGCACAAATGTTAGTTGGCAATGAAAAAAAAAAGCTGAGAATAATTGCTAAGTAGTATTAGTAGTTTCTAAGTTGTTTATATATATATATTTCAAGTAAATAATTTACCAGAATTTTGGAAGTTATACAATTGCAATGCTAACTTACAGGTTCTGTGTTTGGAGTTAGAAAAAAGTGAAATTTTTATTTGTAATAAATAAAAACTAGCGCTAGCATTTTGTTTGATGTTACCTGATGTTGGTTGAATAAAAACAATGGGGGAAAAAAAAACCCACAAAAAATTTGAAATGGGCTTTATGTCAATTAAATTCAAGAATTTGAAAGAAAAAAAAAAAGAATTTGAAGAGTTAGTAAACATTAAGGTAGGTTGGTGAAAATGTAGTATATCCCTTAGGTACTGTTTTAATATGTAGTATAATTTGCATGAAAAGCACATAGCTATTATTTTTTAAATTTTTTTTGTAGTTTATATTTGAAAACTTTGCCAAATCTGGCTTAATTTATGAGTGAGATTACTCATAAATCTGGTTTGGCAATAAGTAGAAGTGTCTTATTCCTTTTTTTTTTTTTTAACTCTTTGTTAAAAATATATTGTATTTGAAAAATGAAAGGAGGAAGTGGAAACAAACTAAATTAAATATATTTTGAGCAAATCACAGTAGGAACACATATATCCCATGTTCCCAGGTAAATGATTTGTGTTTAAACACAGGTTCATGTGTTCTTTTATTTCTTTGAACTGTGCAACACAGAAATGTAGTAGGGATATCTTAAAATAGATGGGGGAGAGTGGCCAGAAATTGTTGACTACTATAGATGGTGAGGCTGTCTAGCTCTTGTGGTGATACAAGCCAGAAGTACATGCTAAGGGCATTGATTTGCTCAAGGTCAGCATGTTCTAAATTCAGCTGCTTGAGTGTGGTTTTTGTCAAGAACACATAGGGCTGCTGAATGCATAAAAGGTTTTAGCAGCAGAAGGTGCTGTATTTATGAGGTGTGGTGGCAACATTCAGGTCATGAATATCTTTTTTTTTTTTTTTAAATATAGATTTTAGCCTGTGGTTCTGAGTCATTTCAGAACATAGAGACAAGAAAGTGGACTATAAAGTAAGCTGTATAGCAGTTATATTCTTTGCTACTGTACTAATGCTATGTAATTTTTCATCAATTTTTGAAGTAAAAAAATGTGTTCTATTTTGCATGTAATGCTGACAGAAAGGCATATAAAGGTAACAATTTAGGCCTATCAGTTTCTGTTTAGGGCCTTCTCACCCCCTCATGACTTTTTAATCCTTAAATTTCAAAGAAAATGTTTCTATAATAAAATAAAGGTACATATAATGACCCCCAAAGTAATAACTAATATTTTGTACAGGGTTACTTTATAAATAGAAATAATTTATATTTATGTAACCATCATTTTTCCAAGTGATTTTACGTATATTTCCTACTTTATTTCTCATGTCTCATCCCTGAGAGTTGAGTAAGACAGTTGGTGGAATTCCTATTTATTAAATAGAAAAACTGAGGCTTATACAAGCAGACAGGTCCAAACTCAAGCTCACAATTTTTGTTGAGCCCTTTTTGTTTGCTGGCACTGTGCTAGGTGCTAAGGGTACAATGGTGATTAAAACATGATTTTATCATTTAATGGAGAACAGTAGTTTGTCTCAAAATGCTAGGGAATAGGTATGTGCACAGTACTGTGGCATTGAGCCCAATCTGAGGGTTCAGAGAAGGCTTTTGGGGAGAGAGGACTCCTAAATGAGACTCCAGAAGGGAAATAGGATTGACTAGTCTTTTTTTTTTTTTTTTTTTTTTTGCCTTTATTTATTTATTTTCTTTATTAATTAAGGTATTACATGTGTCCTTAGTCCCCCATTACCCCTTCCCCCCCAACCTCCCCATTCATGCCCTTATTCCCCTGTTATCTGTGTCCATTGGTTAGGCTTATATGCATGCATATAAGACCTTTGTTGATCTCTCCCCCGTACCTCCACCCTCCCCTACCTTCCCTTAAGTTTGACGTTCTGATCAATGTTTCTCTGTCTCTGGATCTGTTCTTGTTCATCAGTTTATGTTGTTCATTATTTTCCATAAATGAGTGAGATCATGTGATATTTATCTTTCTTTGCCTGGTTTATTTAATTTAGCATAATGCTCCCAGCTCCATCCATGTTGTTACAAATGGTAAGAACTCCTCTTTTTTTTTTTTAAACCACAGCATAGTATCCTATCGTGTAGATGTACCACATTTTTTTAATCCACTGATCTGCTGATGGGCACTTAGGCTGTTTCCAAATCTTAGTTATGGTGAATTGATATATATATATTTTTATTTTTAGAGAGGGTGGGGGAAAGAGAAAGAGAGAGAAAAAGAGAAAGAAACATCTATTTGTTGTTCCACTTATTTATCCACCTATTGGTTGATTCTTGTACATGCCCTGATTGGAGATGGAACCCAAAACTTTGGTATAAACTGGCTGATTTTGCAATTTTATAATAAGTTTGAAGGACTATATTCTAGAATTGCTTATAACTTACTCATTAGGTAAAAGGATCACTTTTGTGTTTTTTGTTTTTGTTTTTGTTTTACTTTGAGTAAAAACCTGGAATTTTAGATGTTATCAGTGGTTTTCCTTGAACAACATAGCTATGTCTTTAAGGTGCATATGGTCTCATGAATGTACTTCAATCTGATGTAATGATCTCTCGGATTGGATGTCAGTCCTGACCTCACACACTTCAGAATGTATGTGCCTGTTTGTTTCTGAGTCTGGAGCGTTTCCCCGTGAATGGAATCCAGCACCTTGGACGTTATTCATAGTGTGCCTGCTGCCATGGAAGAGTGCCAGTTCAGTGGCCAGTGAATAATTTAGGCCTCAGCTGGTGTGATGAGATTGTATTACTTAGGAGAGAGAATCTAATATGTGTTAAACTTTGACATAAAAATAACATGTTTCTTTTGTAAGAAAACACTGAATTACAAAAATTTTTTAATATACCCCAAACCAGTGTACTAGATGAAAAATGGTTTTATTTAATGTTTTTAAAATAGTAATAGTGAATGTTCACTGTAAGAAAACTTGACTGGTAGAGAAGGCTATCAAGCAAAGCAGAAATAGTTTCCCCTTTATATTGTGGCTATGTTTTAGAATTTTTAAAAAATATATTTTATTTAAACAGTCTTTTCTGATGTACATTTCATTTATTTTCTGATAATGCCACAGGGAATCTTCTTGTATGCCTTTGGGCACTTGTAGGTACATTTCCAGGACAATTGTTAGTTCAAAGGACACGTAGATTTTGCTGATGGCTACTGCTGAGTTTCCTTCCAAAAATGTACTAATCCAGTTTATAATTTCACCAGTAGTGTGTGAAAAGGTCCTTTTCTTCACATTGTTGTCTTTAAATAGGCAAAAAATAAAATTAAGTTTTAATTTTTTCATCACTCCATTCCATTAAAATTTTTCAAATTGAATTTATTGGGGTGACTTGCTAATAAATTATATTGATTTTAAGTATACAGTTCTATAATACATCATCTGTATATTGTATTGTTCGTTTACCACCCCAAGTCAAGTCTCATTCCATCACCATTTATCCCCCCTTTGTTTTGTCTGTTCTTACACCAGCATCACAGTGTCATTAGCATAACTGACAGTAAAGGTCCATCTACTTGTTCTTCAAAGTACTGCTTCTGGTCCTTTGCACTTCTAGAAAAAAAGCCAACAAACTTTTTTCTGTTTTTTTTTTTGTTAATCCTCACCTGAGGATATTTTCCCATTGATTTTTAGGGAGAGTGGAAGAGAGAGGGAAAGACAGAGAGAAACACATGGATTAGTTGCCTCTCCTGCACAAGCCTTGAACAGGGCTTGGGCCAAAGTGGATCCTGCAGCAAAGGTACATGTCCTTGACTGGAATCGAACCTGGGACACTTTGGTCCAAAGGCCGGCCCTGTATCCACTGAGCCAAACCAGCTAGCATGCCAACAACTTATTTTTTAAGTAGGTTTTCCTCTAGGTATACTTTGGGAATTATTATTTTCTTTCTACATTTTAGAGATGTTATTCTACTGCATTCTAACTTACATTA